CAATCTTTGTAATACATGTAAACTCACACGTTTATAAAAGATACATAAACACATACATAAACCTACACACACACACACACACACACACACACACACACACACACACACACACACACACACACACACACACACACACACACACACACACACACACACACAAACGCAGTAGCCTACACACAATTCAAAATACATATCATTGTATTTTTTCGTCGCTTTTGCACAAAAAGATGTTAATACGACACATACAACTCAACTACTGCCTTTGAACATTATGAACCACGAAATGAAAACAACTATCCATCTGCCACACGCCCAATCCTTATTAAACATAAACAAAAAACTTGAACACTCTTTTCAATATCACAGAGCACCCACAAGAACAAGATCCGCGCTGTTCTTAATTTCCACAGGTATAACCCATGAAGATTGTATACTTTGTTTGCGTAGTTTTACTCAAGTGTTTGTTAAGGTGAGAGACGAGATGTTGACGATTTGTGTGAGGTAACTAAGCTAGTAGAAAAATGCAACTGTTATAAAGCATTGATTATTGCAACTGTCGCTTATTGTAATTATCATCATCACTGTAGCCAAACTATATTTTCACTTACCACAAATTTTCCTGTTAGTCTCTGATAGACACTAGGTTTGAGTTACTGAATATAGTATAGAAAACAATGCCTAGTCTGGTCATCATATGACTGTATAGTAAGTATCCTAAGTCACGTGTACATAGCTCCAGGGTCAGCCAAGTTACGATAATTGTCAGGGTGTGCCTGCCTGGACAACTATTAGAATTCTCTTATCAAATGTTATTTCTTTCATTAGTACACTGATTATATAAAGTTACTGGACACAATTAGACTAAGTGTTCACACAGGTGAAGCACGGCGCCTATCTTAACCAACTGGCCCCTTAAGTGACGGCAAAATCCAGGCTTCTGTGTCGGCCGCGGTGCCGTCGCTTCAACACACCATCGCATTGTTACTTATTATTATCATTATGATTATTATTCTCCAGAGATTAGTCTTATTGATTTCCCTCTAGATCACCTCGGTGGCGACACGCGCGATCGAACCCAGGGCGACAGCACTCGGCCAGGCTAGCGGTAGTCTCTGAACCATCTGCGTTTAGAAGCCTCCGTTCGAGACTTCCTTGGCCATTTCCATCTAGTTACTACCTGTTATTGTCACCTTCTGGCCGTGGAACGACTCTTGATTTATAATAGTTGTTAAAATATGAATATTCTATCTTTGATATAAACGAAAACAAACGTAATATTTATATTTAAAAAAAGAAGAAGTTTATAGCCTCCCCTCCTTGAAAGAATTAAATCGTAAATCTAGGCCTAACACCGGTATTCTAGTGGATCTCTTTAAGTGTGAGCGAAGGAGGCCCAAGCTGGCCGGGTGAGGAGCCCGATCTCGAGCGCGTTGGTGGCCGTCCTGGTGCACTGCTGCCTCCCAGCCCAAATGAAGGCCAATCATGAGCGAGCCGAACTGCACTTTTTCATTCGTCGGCGGTCCATTTTCATGCTACGGAGGATGCTCTATGATAAGCATGCCTGAACCAACCCCCCCACCCCTCCCCCTACCTTATCCCATAACCATACTAAAAGAAGAAACTTTAATCGTCTTTTTGTAGATGTATATTTATCCCTCTCGTCCCCCCTACCCCCCTCAAAAAAGAGAGAGAGATTTAGAAGAAAAAAACAAAAACTGTATCCTTAGATTACAGTGCAACTTACGTTAATCTTTCTATGGAAGAACATGGCAATTTACGTAATCAAATCAAATATGAGTAAATAAACAAATTATTAAAAAATAAAAAAAAATCGTGCTGGGAGGTAGGTGTTTAAGCCGCTTCTCTCCTTCTCACCCTGCATGTTAGAACTTACGGGACCAAACCACAGTCGGACGTTACACAGGGAGGGTGGAAGCCTCACTTGTCCGGGGACTCCGCTCTTTCTCAGCTCTCTGCGAGTAACGGGAAGTTGCATTGACGAAAACCATTGCCCTTCTGAACGTAACGCGTAGGCTAAAAAATGAAGGTTGCATCAGGTATGCATCCACGGATTATTCGGTAAATTTTTAAAAAACTGTATAATCGAGTTTTGATATAGAGCCTCTCTTTTACTACCCCTCTCTCCCCACACACTCTTTTTTTAAAACAACGCAACGCCCATGGATTAAGAAATGAGTTGACAATGAGTTTTGTGGATGCAACTGCCCTTCAAGATGGTGGCCGGGATTTGCCTGCGGCCAGAGACAGGTAGTGGGTAGGAACGGGGAGATAATAGGACCTCTTATATGGGATGTAATATGAGTACATGGCTAAAACAGCATGTGTCTTTTTTTTCTCTCTTTTTTTTCTAAGAATGTAGTTTTTGCTACGAGGCGGAAACAGATTTGTGGAAACGCGAGGAAAAAAAAATAATAATAATAATGTTAGTTTGTCAGTGGTAAGGTTGCCAGACTTTGTTAGACTGCTGTAAGCTGATTCTGCCAGTGATATCGTAAGTGATCAAAAATAACTAATGATGGTGATATTAAAAAAAAAAAGGTAAACAGCCATTCAAACCTCAGTTCTAGTATTACACTTGTTCAAAAGGATATATATATATACATCCCTTGAAGAGTAGTAACTTCTGCTCAACTTCTGTTTAGATATTATACATGATTATAATAAGAAAATCAAGTCACATAGTCACATTTCATAGCTGACTCCTGAACCATATGATCAACAAGGTCAGTGTTAACTATGGGACTTATCACACCTCATGAAGCTCGACTGAACCAACATTAAGATTTCCTGAAATTAAACTCTTGGATTTAGGAGTTACTGGCAGTACAGCAATTGGTCTTAAATTGTTGTCATAAGCTGGACCTTCTTTCTATATATACATTTTACTTAATCAGTATTGCCTCGTCCACATGTGTTTCGTACACATTATGATAGGGAACTTAAGTAATGTACGACCAGCTACTGTGTAACATAACTCCAAAATCTGTACAGTACTGCGTGAACTAAAGGCATAAAATTAATCGCGATTATCTACCGTTTCTCATTACCTACTCATCAGTAGATTCACTACAACAACGTAAAAAAAAAGATAAAAAGGTATATCTTCATATCCTCAGGCCTAATGGAATCAATAAGTTACATGTAAGAAGTCAATTGTCGCTTGGAATGCCACGGAGTTCTTGTTAAAGGTGTTGTTGGTTTGTTTGTTTGTTTGTTTTTTAATACGGCCTACTTGCTGTAGAATTAATAAATGATAATACTAATTATATATAAGGCAAAACCTAAAACCAAAAATTCGGAGAGAAGTCGATCAGCCCACTTTGCACCTTTGAACAAAAACGCCATCTACTCTCAGATTGGACTACGTGTGTACTCAAATGCTGGACTACATTATTTATATATAAAAAAAGGTTTGACAAGAGAGTCAGTATTGAATATGTACAGCTCATTAGATTGTTATGGTGATATAGGAAATGGTGAAATGTTGGTGCATTTCAAATATTTTAGTAACTACGCTTTTTAAGGTGTTGCATAATAAAGGGTATTGATGATGTATTTACACATGCGTAGTTTGTGCCCTGATGCGTTGGTTGTTCTCTCACTGTTAACTTAACTCCGCTTTCCAATTTGTACTATCGCCATAACCACTGATGACTCCACACTGAGGGGCGTGCGCGAGGCAGCAGCAGCAACAGCAGCAGCGACTACAGTCCTCCTAAAAAACAGCTGCTTCATACTAGTCATCGGGAAGTAGGGATTTTCGTCCAAGATTAGCTGCAGTGTCTCGATGACTGGTCGGTAGTTTAGCCCTACAAGTTTGTTCGTTTTTTTTATTATTATTATTTTTACGTAGTATACAGATACAAAGTCGAATAGTTAAACTGCCATATGAACATATTAAATACCGAGTTGTTGTCATCGGCTACAATTACTGTTTGTTTGTTTTTTATATAAGAAGAAAAAAATAACATAACCAAATGACAGCGGTTGTTGATGTGGGAACCGCCCGCCCCCCTCCCCTCTCCCCCACCCCCCTTTTCCTCCCTCCAGCTCACCCTTTAGTCTTCAGTCAGTCTGGGTTATGGTGTGCCGGTCACGCCTTGTAAAAGTTCATTAAAACTGGTTAGGACTCCTGTCAGTATTCATTTCAGATTGAATCGGAACATTTGATGACAATAACACTTGAATAAGACATAAAATAAATATATATGTACAAACTCTGATCCCAAAAACTATATTAAGAAAAGAAGGTAAATAATTAATCAGATCATATATCCTTATAATGAATAAATAGATAAAAATAAATCAAAAGTAGTGACTCCAAGTGAACTTCAGTGCGTGGACCACAGCACATACCACTCAGTCTTCTGAAACATACTTAACATGGCCCTTTTATTGAGAAAAAAAACGAAAACTTTATAAATTTCTTGGGTTTGTCATTCAGTCTAACATGTTAAGGAAATCGATGTGAATAATGCGAAGGCTGAGGGACATGAAGGTCTGTTAAATGTACATACACTTTAAATGAATAATTAAAACATATTTATATTAATTGACAGAGAGAGAAAATTCAAAATCTGCATTTGATCAAAGCGGTGAATCACAAATTATGATATATTTTCCAGTAGTATTCATCAGCCCCCCAAAAATATATATACATCAAATTGAATCGAATCGAATATAAGCTTTAACAAAAATAAAAAAGTGTCGCATGTCATTCAAAATTTTGGGAAGAAACACAAATTTGCTGTTACCTCCTCGTGGCTCATGACCAAGCACTGGCCTCTGCGTATATTTTGATCCTTGTAAAAATCACAAACTCGATCTTGTTATTATTAATCAATACTTCAATCTTAGCCTGTTATAGACCTACAAGAGAGTACTCCTGTATAATGTTTTAGACTGAGATGTCAAATTGCTGTAATCAAACAAAAAAAATATATGTCATGATTTACCACAAAAAAAGAACGAAAAAGAAC